TCTCTCCCGCAAGTACTTAGAGTATGATTTACTCTAAGATGTGACATTGTCTAAGACTTGACACATGCTTCACAAATGTAGGGTTTCTCTCCAGTATGATTTCATTAATGTAATAGAAAATATGACATCAAAGTAAAGGAATTGGTACCTTCTTCACATACTGGGTTTCTCTCCAGTATGGCTTCTGTAATGTCTTGTAAGTGTTGAGCTCTTAGTAAAGGCTTTGTCACATTCCTTACATCTGTAGGGTTTCTCTCCAGTATGAATTCTGTAATGTCTTCTAAGTGTTGAGTTCTCAGTAAAGGCCTTGGCACATTCCTTACACCTGTAGGGTTTCTCTCCAGTATGTATTCGTTGATGCTGTTGAAATATTGACATGTGAGCAAAGGCTTTGTCACATTCTTCACATTTGTAGGGTTTTTCTCCAGTATGAAATTTCTCATGACCTTTCTAAGAGATGAGCTGTTGGTAAAGGACATGCCGCAGTCTTCACTTTTAAAGGGTTTCTCTTCAATATGAATTGTCTGATATACTCTAAGATTTGACAGGTTGATAAAGGACTTGCCACCTATTTCATATTTGTAGGGTTTCAGTCGATTATAAATTCTCTGATGAACTCTACAATCTGTGGTATTGGCAATAGACTTGTCACACTCTTCACATTTGAAGGGTTTCTCCTCATTAAGGGATCTCTCATGTACTCTAAGATGCGCCACTTAACTAATTGACTTTTCACATTCTTCACATTTGTATGGTTTCTCTCTGGTTTGAAGGGTTTCTTCATATTTGAAGGGTTTCTCCTCATTAAGGGATCTCTCATGTACTCTAAGATGCGCCACTTAACTAATTGACTTTTCACATTCTTCACATTTGTATGGTTTCTCTCTGGTTTGTATCCACTTAACTAATTGACTTTTCACATTCTTCACATTTGTATGGTTTCTCTCTGGTTTGTATTCCCTGATGTCTTTTAGGGTTTGACATTTTTCTAAAGAATTTGTCACAGTCTTTACATTTGTAGGCTTCCTCTCCATTATAACTTCTCTGATGTGTTCTCAGACTTGAGTTCTCCTGGTGAGGCAAAAAAAAAAATAATAAGAGTGTATTTCAATATGGAGAACAAGGCTGAGATAAACATGCATTCCAGGTTATATAAAGAAAAGCATGAATAAAATTTCCAAATATCCACTCATTAAAACATAGAAAATTTCTATTAATATTAGATATCTTTTCATCCAGCACCAGAGATGGGAAAGCATGAAATAATGAGCAAAATACAGATAAGCACTGAAAGTGAAAGTATAAAAGTAAATTGATTCACAGAAACGTTTTCTCCCAAAATTGATAGAAGTATAGCATTACAAGTAATGCTCAAATTCATGGCACAAAAGCCATCACTTCAGAATTTTTGTACACAAACTGAAGAACAAACCAATTTCTAGAATGAATCCATCATGTGTAACAAAGAAAAAAGAGTCCTACAAGCTCCTGGGACACTGCTCTTATGAACCTACAGCAATGGTGTCAGCATGTACAGGACCAGTGCAAACTCAAGCAGACAAAAACCCAGCATAGAACTGGGGAAATGGACAGCTGACCTCAATCTTAGCTGAAGAAATATTGGCAACTGAGTACTGCTGGGTGGAAAAGCTGATCTTGCTAAAGCAAGAGACTCTAGATAGACTGACTAGACCTCAGTAGATGGACTTGCACCGAGGGAAGTCTGGGGACACTAACTTGACACAATAGGCCTTAAGATAAACTACAGAATATATGAATTCCAGTGAAGGGCTATGGGATGATACCGTGGAGAAAGGGTATAAAGATGATTAAGATTGATTGAGATGTTCTGTATGAAATACACCAAAAAGAACAGTTTCAAAAGCAACTAAAAAGCAGAAAAAAAGAGCTGAGGTCCTCCCCACATTCTATTCCATAGTTCCCAATCATCCAGAATAATCTACCCTCCCAGGACTCTGGTAAGTCATATTCCACCCACTGTGTCTCTATTTCATTCTTCTTGCCCATCCTTACCCTGTCCCCTACCAGTCTTGGACCCAGGAATGCTCAAATATCTCTGCCTCAGATTTCTGGACTATCATCCTAACAGAGACTAGCTAAACTCCGTACCATTGACTTTACTGTTTCCTGACGTGTCTGACACAGAAAAGCCCTCCTACTAACTTGCCCAACCTACCTACTACACTGTTGCACTATCCACCCAGACCAGTATACTACCCTGAGAGAACCTGAACCATGCACGAATTTATTTTCCATACATGAACAAAAATAAATCAGGCTACATAAACGATATAAACAGAACCAAAATTAAATTAAAGAAAAACAGAGTAGAAGTTCCTGTTGAATACATAACTAACAAAGAACATCCATATGCCCAAATGGCAATGCATAAACACAAACAATATGAAAAACCAGGAAAATACATCACAAACAAAACCCATGAGTCCTACAGAAGTGCATCGCACTGAGAACCACCCTATAGAACCCTAGGATGCAGAATTTAAAAGGAAAATCT